TGTTCCAGACCCACCAGCCACTGGCGAGGGCAGGGACAGTCTGCTTCTGTGAGGACCACAGCCTTGGAAACCCTGCGGGGCAAGTCTGTGCAGCCCTATAGGACTGCTAGGAGTCCGAATAATGCACTGGACAGCAGCAGCTTCCGGATTTGGTGTGGTTTGTTTTCCCAGGAGCAGATAGCCCATTCTCTTCTTCTGTGGAGCCCATCGGTGGGTTCGAACTGAAAACCTTTTTTGATTAACAGCCAAGCATGGAACTATTGTGTCAACCAGGAGTCCTGTGCTAACAATTGTAAACTGAGCTGAGTATTGTCCCTGAGACATGAGCAGAGCAGACAAGAGTGGCATGTAGAGCTGCCGTGTGCTCATGCACCCAGTTCTCATGTCTGTCCGCTGTTCTGTCTCATAAAAGCCACACGGTGGCTGCCCTGTGGGCTCTGGAGCTGGCTGCCTGTGGGTACTCCCAGGCACCTACTCTGCCTGTGTCTCAAGTGTCCTATCTGTAAAGTGGGCAGAATCATAGTTTCTACCTTGAAGTTTGTTAGAAGGATTGAATGAGTTAATGTTTGTGAAGTGCTCCCAACAGCAACCGCCGTGTTATCAAAGCCACATTAAGTGATCTGACTGTCATTGAGTGGATTCGAACTCATAGCGACCCTGTAGGGGCTTCTGAGACTGCAAATCTTTACTCCAGTAGAAAGCCTCATCTTTCTGCTACAGAGCAGCTGGTGGTTTCGAACTGCTGACCTTGTAGTTAGCAGCCCAGTGCGTATCCCCCTATGACACCAGGGCTCCTGGCATGAAGTGGTAGTTATGTTAAATTCTGTAGGTGAGCAGGGTCTTTCCTCCATCCTTCAGGCATGAGCCTCATTGAAACTATACGGTGATCAGTTTGTTCTATGGTAAAACCCAAGCTCATTGCCATCGAGTCAGTGCTGACTCTCAGTGACCCCCTGTGGGTTTCTGAGACTCTGTTTATGGGAGTATAAAGTCCACTCTTTCTTCCGTGGAGCTGCTGGTGGTTTTGAACTGCTGAGCATGCAAATCACAGCCCATCGAGGGAAGTAAAGGGTTCCCTGGGCCCATCCCAGAGTCATGGCAGCCAATACAACAGCTGTGAGCAGCTGAGAGCCATTAGCTCGGCAGGAGAAGGATGAGAGTGGAGCTTAGAGGAAGAGGACAAGGCAGCCCACAGGAGATTGAGACATGAAACTAAGAGGAATGTGTACTTGGCTTCATTGAAGTCATCTCCTTATCTTCAAGCGAGAGCCCCTCATGCAAGTCTCCCACCAAAGTAGTGAGGAAGGGAACAAGGCCTCCTCGCCCAAGATCCCAGTGCCTTGTTTCCAGGGCCTGAGTCTCGTAGTAGGTCCACAGGGAGGGATCTGCTCTCTCTGCTTCTGATAACTCCAAGGCCAGTGCTTCTCATTCCACGATGAGCTCAGGGCCTCCTTCCCATCCAACCCCAGCCGAGCCCTGCCCATCGGCTATACCCTACCTCAGGGCCCTCAAATCGGCACACTCCAAGGAGGGTGGTGGCTGAATGCCTGAAAGGATTCCAACTCATACTGACCCTGTAGGACAGAGTAGAACTCAGGAGGGTAGACTACAGAAACAAATCCAGGGGAACCCATATGTGTCTAAGAAAGAGCTTTACATATAAGAGCAATTGAATATTGAGAAAACAGCCCAGCCCAGTCCAGATCAAGTTCTTAAGTCCAATATTAGCCCATATGTCCAATACCAATCCAAAAATCCCTCTTTAGTCTCATGAAACACATGCAATGATGCTGAATGCAGGAAGATCACAGGCCAATGGGTGGAAAGTTTTGTGGATCCAGTGGCAGTGGAGGCATCTAAGCGTTGTCAGGGGCTCCTCCAGCTCCAGGGCTCGAGTGCAGCCCCATGTGCCTTGTCAGCAAGCATGTCTCGCAGGGAGTGAGCGTGTGTCCAGCCTCCAGTGAGCTATTTATCTCCGTGGTGCCTCCAAATGAGGTCATCAAGGTGCAACCTAATTGACAGGTTAAATCACCCCTTCACTCTTAAGTCTCAAATTGACAACAGATTATGTAACTACCACAGTAGTGAAATAGTGGAAGCCCTGGCCCTGCTCCCCCAACTCTACAATAAATGATGCTGAAAACACAGCTATCCTTCTATGCATCTTGTGGCATCAGGCACCGAGTATGGCCATTCAAATCCATCATGGTCCCTGCCCTCCGGAGCTCAGTGTGGTGGGGAGGCATGGGCAGAGAGAAGGAATGGAAGTGAAGGGAAGCTTTGACTTTCAAAATATTCTAGAGCAAATGCCTTTTGACCTCACGTTGATTTGGCCCTCAGGGTCCAGGCTGCATGTTCACAGCTTGAGCCCTTTCAGCAGCATCCTCACACATTCTCTTTCATCTACCACCGGCTAAGCAAGGATGCCTCCAGCCCCGGTCTCATCATCAGAGGTTAAGAAGAGATATAGAAAGCACAGTTTTGCCTTCAAAATGTTGACGGGGTTTATATACGTGTGAAGCAATTAAGAGAACAATCCAAGCTGATGGTCAATACATGTTAGCTAGTACACGTCTAATGAGCAAGTCAATGGATTATCAACCTAGGACAAAATGTGTGCTAGGAAAAAGGGCATTGGGTGCGGAGCAGTCGGTGCACGCAGGAAGGTTGGTAGTAGGCTTCCTGGTTCCAAAGCCCGTGGAGGAGGTGGGATTTGAATTAGAGTGTGTTTAGATGATGACCAGAGGGCAAAGACAAAAAGTAAAGATAGAAGCTATGAGTCAACTGCTGGCCAAAAATCCTGCGGGGAGGAGCACATTCAAACCAATGACTCATTACCATCATTTTTGGGGATGTCCCTTGTTGTCATTCGGTACTGTTGTGTTCGTTCCGACTCACTGTGGCCCCATGCACAACTGAGTACCACACTGCCCAGTCCTGCACAGCCTCACAGTCTTTTCTGTGCTTGAACTCATTGTCGCAGCCTCTGTGCCAGTTTATCCCAACCAGAGCCTTGCTGATTTTCACTGACTTTGCCAAAGAAGGTGGCCTCCAGGGATTG